CTAACTGCGAAGTTCTGTCAGATCCGCCCTCTGAAAATCCTCCGAAGCCCCCGAATCTGCAAGTGGTCGCAGGTGACCTGCAACATCTCTCAAGGAGCTTGGCAACTCGATCTAGATCAGATGCAACCTGCCTTGTCCACGGCGTGGCCAGTGCGGTCGGTCTGCCCTCGCGCGGCTGGGGGGTATCGACTCGATGGGAGGTGGCCCGAATTGCGCGCGCAGAACCTAAGCGTGTTCGCCAGGATGCGCGCTCCACGACTGATGCAACTTAACTCTGCGAAGCAGTAGCTCCAGCGAGGAGGGGGCACATTTCCCATGTTGAAATACCTGTTTGTTGAATGATAACGTCGCGTGCGCGCCCTCCAAAGACCTTGCCTTTCCAAGCATGGCTATGCGCCCCAGAGGAGCTCGACGCTCGCCCGAGATCGCAGCATCCGTTTCCGATGCCGCGAAACTCCCCCATCCACTCAACAAAGCGCCCCAGACGAACCCGATGAAGAAAAACAGCTACGTCTCCATCTCTTAGGAATTCCCAGACTCCAGGCCCTGCCCGAGTGGAGGAAACCAGAGCGAGCCGCGCTGCGTCTCCTGGAGATCTCAGCCCGGGCTGGAACTCTCAACTGCAAGTGGGGCCCAAGGTGCCTTTCTTGTTCCGTCCGGGGGCTGAGGGGAAGATGGGGTTTTGTCGGAGCGACGGTCTGCGCCGATCGCCGCGCGCAGCGAAAAACACATGGGGTGCTCTTGTTCGGGCGCATTCTAGCCGTGGCCGTAGTCCGCAAAATGGGGATCCAGCCGCGCGTCTACATTCGCAACTTTGTCGGCGAAGTCCATCGGCGACGCCTGCGTATTCGCCGGGGCAGAACTGTTACTGTAATCGGTGAACTTGCTCGTGCTAAGACCTGCGTGAAGTCCCATCTGCGACGCTCGCAGCATCGTCGACTACTCGTCGGCCAGAAGCTCGCCATATCTTCGAGATAAAACTGGGAACGAGAATGTTCCTACGAAGGCTCGGACAGCATCTGGATCCCCCGTCCTGCTCCCCTGGGCGGGTCGAACTGCGAGGGGGCCCTCCGAAGCTCCGAGCGAAAAAAACATTATTGTGGCCTTGATGGCAAAGTGCACGATCGCACGCGCGAGAATGAAGGTGCGCGGTTGTGTCGAGCTGGTCCCTGGAAGAGCTGCCTAAGGCGTTGGACATGGCCTTCAGCGTCGTGACGCGCGTCGAGCCTTGGGCTCGCAGCCGCCGCGAGGTTGCCGGCGCGGCGGCCCCCCCCCGACGACGATGGCGAAAGTTGCCGTGGTCCTGAACGGTGGGTTGAGGTCGAAGAAGAGTGGAGTAGCGCGCCTCCCCGAGCGTTGCCATCGCAGGTGCCGCTCTGCGCCCGCGGGGGCCAACAATGCTGGATGTGCGCAGACCGGCTCCTTCCGCGCGGGGCCAATAGGGCGGGGCCATTTTATGCACCCTGGTCTTTGCTCTGCCCACTTCCGCCAGCAAGCGAAAGCCGGAATTTGTCGGCGACCGAAGATCGCAGCCCAAACCCTGGCCGCTCCGCTGTTGAGTGTTCTCTTAGGAAGAGACAACTTTCGCAATGGCTCCGACGGTGCCGAGAACATCGGGAACTGCTCGTCGTTTTGCTTCATGTCTCATCCATCATCCATCGAATAACTCGCTCGACATCCTTCTTATACGAATCCGTAATTTCTTCGCTAGATTCCCACCGATGCAATTGATGCCCCGTTCAGCACGCCATTCAGACGGGCCCCGTGGGCGCGCGGTCACGCCTCCCGGCGCGCCGTCGAGAGACTATGCATCCAAGCGTGCCTGCGTAGATGGTGGAGCAGAGCGCGCCAGAAGACCGTCTCTTCTCTTCGGTCTAACGCGTTCCGCGCCGAGCTCCTCGCCAATCTCATGGCCACTGCCTGCTTTGGCTGATTCCAAAGGTCCGAGGCCTCAGATGCCAACTGAGACTGGAGAGCGCACGCAGCTTTGCGTCTGAGTAGCCTCTGTTGCTGTGAGATGCGCATCACCTCCTCGTCTATGTGCTGTGCTTCCTCGGCTGAGGCTTCCCATGTTCCCCCCCGAAGATCAGCGCGCTCGTGAAGGAGTCGTCGTCGCTCCCTGCATCCAGCTTGCCTGTCGGGGTCGTTGCCCAATGGCCCTGTGCCGAAGTGGGTCTGACTGCCGCCGTGATGCAACCCTTGAGCAACTCAACAGTCTCATCAGGTAACTCATATTTTCACATGATGATGCGGTCTTCGTGCATCCAGCTGGGTCTGCACCGACCCGAAGAAGTTCGCCACGAACAACATGATGTCTGCCACGAAAACATACAAACATCATGTTGCCACGATTCCAACGAAGACGGTTCTGATTTTCTGACGGGCCACTAGTGTGCTGGGCATACCACAATGTACACTGGTGGGCAGATGATCCTGTGGGCTCGGGCCTCTGAAAGCTTGGAGACGCGCGCCAAGGCGGCGCCGAACAGTAGCATTTGCACTAAGGTTCCCCGTGCCTTTAGGAATGAAGCATTACTCGGTTCTAGATCTCTTCCATCCTGGCCATAGTACGTGGGAATCACAGATTCCCCTCGAGCAGTCGTCGCTGCCATCTCATGCAATTCGAATGATTTGCGACGCTGTTCACCTGTTTTCTTTCGAAGACGCTTCTGGCACGACCGTAGTGTCAATCGCTCTACTCCCTCCCGCTGGAACTCCAATGCCATCGTTGGCGTCGCAGAAGATCAGTGGTGCCGTCCTGTGAGGCAGCACAGACAACAGCTCACGTAGCCAGTCGATCAGAACTCGGACAATACGACGATCGTGTGGGCGATGCTGGACGCGAGATGGCTTCAGAGGGATATGAATACACACGCTGCACAAAGATCAACCCTTCCCCTCTTAATGCGGACTCCCAGACACCGCCCCTAGGCTCAGACGGAGAAACCCAAATCTGAAAGATATGCTGTTCCCGAAAACCTTTTCCACAAATGACTGAACACCCAACACTCGAATTGCTCAGCAGAGCCGGTGGACCAAGGAGAGCCTCAGTAACACATCGTCCCTGGATGTGCCGTCGAAGAGTCACACTTTCCGAAAACTGTTGCCTCCGATCACCGCCTCAATTCCAGCTAACATAGCATTGTCAACATTCGCAGTCTCCACCACTAACTCTTCTTTTCTGTCGCCCCTACACGAATGAGGGTTCCACCCCAACAACCGAAGCTGCTGTGCCATCGCCGCCCTCAGAAAAGGCGGCCGCAACTGGGACATGAATCGCCCCTTTCACGATGTACGGTGCATAAGAGTGGCTGCCCCTGAATGGTGGACTCGGTGTACAGGGGCTGGAGGAGGAGGAGGGCGATGAGGGAAGGGATGAGGAGAAGGGTGAGGCGATTGATGAGGAGAAGAGCGACGACGAAGGAAAGGAGGAGAGAGCAGGAGGAGGGGAAGGAGGGGAAGGGACGGGAGGGGTTGGGGGAGGAATTGGGGAAGGGGTGATGAGGGGAGGGGCGAGCTAGGCGCGCTCTCGCCAGACGTGACATCCTACTCCTCTCACCCATCCCTTCTCATTGCGCTGAATTGTCCCATTCGCCGACGCGTGTCAGTGGACCTGGAACTCCAAAAACGACCCCATCGTGTTTTATACGTTATCGGAAAAAAGCGGAGCTGCGTACATGGAGGAGGATGAGGAAGAGGAGAAGGAGGAGATGGCGAATGAGCAGGAGGATCCCGGCAACGGCTATGAAGGTACTACTGCAACCTGGCGTGCAAAGGAAAAGAGACTCCGATCGAGTCATGGGCCAAGGTCCTCGGTGGGCGGCACCACCTGCCGACGGCGCTCCCGCGCACCGAGCCACAAAAGACTCGGCCTCCTCCCGATACCCAAGCCCGAACACGGCGAGGCTTCCGCTGCGTCTGCAGCGTCAAAACCTCCAGGATCGCGTGGCCTCTGGCCGGCCAAGTACGACACGTCGTGCTGCGGGGCCCGCAGTGCCTCGGCCTCTCGGGCCCCGCGGGGCCAGGCCGGCACCCGCCCGCGCAACGGGTGACCCGCGCGTGTCGCCCGCTTGTGCGCAGGAGGGTGAGCAGGAGGAACAAGAGGATGAAGAAGGAGGACGACGAGGGGGAACAACAGCAGCAGCGGCAACTGGAAGGGAAGGAGCGGGAGGAGCAGGAGGACCGGGGGAAGGCAGGAGAGGGGGTGACAGCGATGGGGAAGCACTCGGGTCCAGAGAATAGTGACCCGCGCTGGGACGAGAGCGCCGTTCTGAACGACGGGACCAAAGCCACGATCCTAAAATGAGGCCAGCGCTGCAACGGCGGTACCATTTTGAGACACCGAACATGCTCCGACTGAGAAAGCCATTGTAAGACGGACCAACTTTTGAACATCGGTGTGTAAAGAACAGTATGCGGACGGGAGCGGGCGACTCTCTGGCCATCCTCGGGGAGAGGGGAGAGTAGTACGTATTCATTTGAAGTAATTGTACAATGATGGGGAGGGGGGGAGGGGAGGAATGACAGGAGATGGCACACTTGTGGGCGGGGGCTGGCCAAGAGTGGCGGGCGAGATATTTGGACGGCGAGGGGCCACGAGGGCCAGGAGCCAGGGATGCAATCCGGGGCCCGTGGGGTAAAAATGCCCCTCCTCCCTCCCCCCCCCCCTCCCCCGTCACTCCTCCTCCTCCGTGGTCCCCCCCTCTTCCTCCCCCATCACCCCTCCTCCTCCTCCTCCGTTGTCCCCCCCTCTCCCCCCTCTCTCTCCCCCTCCCCCCCCCCCTCCCCCCCCTCCCCCGTCACTCCTCCTCCTCCTCCGTGGTCCCCCCCCCTCCTCCCTCCCAGGCCCGCTCCCCGGGGCCTCCGCCGTCCCGGGGCTTCGGGCCTCGCTCCTCCTCCTCCCGCCCGCCGCCCCCGCGCCCGTCCCCCCCCCCCCCGCCTGCGCCCGTCGCCGCGCGCGGCGTGGGCCGCGTCTGCCAGGTTCTGCTGCGCCGTGCGGCTCAGCTCGTAGGAGCCCGCCGGACCCCCCCGGACGAGACGGGGAGGCCGTCATGGCTCTCGTCGTAGCCGTGGGAATCGACCGTCGTCGTCGTCATCGTCGTCGTCGTCATTCTCGTAATCGACCGTCGCCGTCGCCGCCGTCGGGGTCGTCGTCGTCGTCGTCGCCGTCGTCATCGTCACCGTCGTTGTCGTCGTCGTGGTCGTCGTCGTCGTCGTCGTCGTCGTCGTCGTCGTCGTCGTCGCCGTCCAGGTCGTCCAGGTCGTCCAGGTCGCCGTCGCCGTCGTCGTCGTCGACGAAATCGTCTGTTGTCGACGTTGTCGTCGTCGTCGTCGTCGTCGTCGTCGTCGTCGTCGTCGTCGTCGTCGTTGTGGTCGCCGTCGTCGTTGTGGTCGTCATGGTCATCGTAGTCCTCGTCGTCGAAATCGACCGTCGTCGTCGTCGTTGCCGTTGTGGTCATCGTCATCGTCGTTGAGGTCATCGCCGTTGGCGTCGCCGTCGTCGTCGTCGTCGCCGTCGTCGTTATCGTCGCTGCGGGAGGCTCGTAGTCGGCTCCCGCAGCCGTCGTCGTCGTCGTCATCGTCGTCGTTGTCGTCGTCGTCGTCGTCGTCGTCGTCGTCGTCGAGGTCGTCGTCGTCGTGGTCTTAGCCGTCGCCGTCGCAGTCACCATCGCCGTCGCTGTCGCCGTCGCCGTCGCCGTCGTCGTCGTCGACGTCGTCGTCGCGGTTGCGGTCGTCGTCGTCGCCGTCGTCGGTGTCGTTCTTGGCGTCGTCGCCGTTGCAGTCGTCGACGTGGTCGTGCCCCCCCGCGCTGGGCAAGCTGATTGGGCTCGGATGCTCCCGCCGTCGTCGTCGTCGTTGTCGTCGTCGTCGTCGTTGTCGTCGACGTCGTCGTCGTCGGAGGAGGAGGAAGTGGAGGACGAGGAGGAGCAGAGAGGGAGGGAGGGAGGGAGCGAACGAGGGAGGAAGAGGAGCACGAGCATGATAATGAGGACGAGGAGGAGGAAATGGAGGAGGAATTGGAGGAGGACCGGTGCAAACCCAAGACTCATCAACGATGTTGCAATACACCTTCCCTTCAAGTGCCATTTTCATGGCTCCCTACAAACATTCATTTTCACGGAAGGGAATACCCCGTTGGCAGACAACCGTCTAAGCATCTCGAACCGTGCCGGAACACAATTCTTGGGATTTTAGCGCCATGAATAAACGTTACTGTTGCGTGATGACGATCAACACCGTGAGTCAACGTAACTGTCGCGCCCTGACAGTCCGACATCGTGTCAAAACGCGATTTTTGGGGCGTCAACTATCAGAATCCTTGGAACCGCTGTAACCTCTCTTGACTCAATGTGCGCGGCGTTAAGGCGACAACTACCTTTTGAAACGGCGCCGCCCTCCATCTGCGAAGCTCCTGCAAACCTTTACGACGAATGTGTTCGCCGCAAGAGCGAGATCCACCTTTCGAAAACCGCCCGCCCTCCGTCAGTGAAGCTGTTGCAGATTCCAAAAAGGTAAGGCTCACAAGTGGTGAGACAATCTCGAGCGAAACGTCTGGCTCGCCCTGCCGACACATCTCGGGGTGAGGGATGGAGGAGGATGAAGAGGAGGGGGAGGAGGATGAGGCGGAGGAGGATGAGGCGGAGGAATGAGGCGGAGGAGGAGGAGGATGAGGCGGAGGAGGAGGAGGAGGATGAGGAGGAGGGGGAGGAGGATGAGGCGGAGGAGGAATTGTATTCAACCCTCGGGCCGCAGCACGAGCTCCCGAGGGGACGGAGACGGCGTCGCGTTCAGGGTGGGCCAGGCCCACCCTGTCGCAGAAGCCAAGTCCACCTGCGAAGAAGGACCACGCGACGAGCACCCAGTCCAAGGAGAAGATGGTACAACGATGTGAGATGCGCCCTTGAACAAGAAAAGGCCGAACGGGGCAGGAAAAGGAAGACGTAGGATGACGAAGCGCACCACGAGCCCGATACACAGGACACAGAGCCGAGGTAGAAAATCCGTTGGCTAGTCGGGCTACGCACAGCTTTAATTAGGGAGACAGGGGATAGGCGGGCGGGACCTCAGGCGGCCAAAGCCGCGCCTTCTAACACGCAGGGGTGCTTCTACGAAGCCTTCCCCCCTCCCCCTATCCCCCCCTCTGCGCGTGGCCGACACTAGCCGCGCACTCATTCTGTCGCAAGCGTCTGCGGCCGCGGCAAACCCACGGCGAACCCGCCGTGTCCGAGGCGGCGTTTGCCCTGGTGCCCGCGCGCCCTGCCCTCCCCAAGACGTACATGTTCAGGGTGCAGGTTCGGCGCGCCATGTCCCAACCCAACAGGCCGAGTGCCCCCCTGGCAACTTACAACACCAACCGGTCGAAACTCAGGAGCATGCAGGTTGTACGGAAGGCGGGGCACTGTGGCACATCAGGAAACGTGAGGAGGAGGACGGAGGAGGAGGAGTGGAGTGGAGCAACCCAGAAGCGGACGAATCAATGCCCCCGCCGCCTTAAGCCAACCGTGAGGACCATCGCGGCTGGAGTCGGCGGGAGCTCGCATAGGAGGCTTACCGCGGAGAAACGCACGAAAGGCGACGCACGCCACTAACGGCAGCAGCGCCGCGAAGCGCGGCAGACGCGCGAGAAAAACGAGAGACGTACCCGACACGCGCGCCAGCGGCGCCACGTGCGCCAGGAGGCAGCAGCTAAGCCAGTCAACCGCTTTACAAGCCCGTTCTGACATTTCGAGGCCTCAGATAACGACGCGCCGCGCGTGCCGCCCCGATCAAGGCACCGCTCCCTCGGGGACAGCCCGCCCCCGCGCACGCCGCGGCGGGGGACCGTGGCCGTGGGGAGAATGGACGGGGATCCTCCGATGAGCCCCCCCTGCGTAGGGGACCCGCGACACCCCCCGTGCCCCAGCGGAGTACTGGGAGGGCCACGCAAGGGTGTCGCAGCAAAACGTGGCAGACCCACAACCCAGGCACGGGACACGGAAGGAAACGCCGCGCACTGAAGCCCTGGACTGCCCCCGCCCGCCACGAGGACGAGTCGGGCACAGCCCCGAGACCCCAGGCACGACTCTTCCCCCGTGGCGCAGGCTGGGATGGCCTACGACTACATTTTTTCTCCCCCCAAGGGTCCCGAAGGAGCACCTGGGGTGACGAACGGGAGGCTACCCGCCTGTTCTCCTGGGGAGGGATCCCAGTAGCACAGGTGCCAGGAGGAGGAGGAAGAGGAGGAGGAGGAGGAGGAGGAGGAGGAGGAGGAGGAGGGGGAGAAGGAAGAGGAAAAGGAGGAGGAGGAGGAGGAGGAGGAGGAGGAGAAGGACAGATGATGGAGGAAAGAGAAGGGCGAAGGAGGAGGAGGAGGAGGAGGAGGAGGAGGAGGAGGAGGAGGAGGAGTAAACCCCAAGGCGCACCAACGATGTTGCAATTAACCCTCCCTCCAAATTCCGTCTTCGTAGGTCCCTGCAAGAATTTTTCATTGCGGGAAATATCACATTAAGAGGCAACCGTCTGAGAATCCTCAATCGTGCCAAAATGCCATTCCTGTGACTTCAACGCCGCGACTGCTGCGCCCTAGCAGCCCGAAATCGTGCCAGAACGCCAATCCCGGGAGTTCAACCCTAAACTGTTGCAGACTTTAAAACGATTCTGCGCGGCGCTAAGGCGAGAACCACATTTCGAAAAAGAACCGCCCTCCACCTTCAAACTGTTTTGAAAACAACGAACGTCTCATTTTGAACATGTCCTCCCCTGTATCTTTGAAGCTGCTGCGAACTTTTGGAACGAATGTGCGCGACACTAAGGCGAGAACAACATGTTGAAAACGACCCGCCTTCCATCCTTGAAGCTCTTACACATTTCTTCGCACTTCAGGCTCCCATGGCGGTGAAGGAGGTCTCCGGCGGAACGCCCGGCCCGCCCTGCAGACACGGCTGGGGGTGCGACGGGGAGGAGCTACCCATATGGAAGCGGAGTGGAGGAAGAGGACGAGGCGAGCACTGGCCATCGCTCGGACGTCCATTTCCTGTGTTTTTTTCTGTTTCGTGCGTGGTTTCTTCGCCAAATGATCAAGGATGCTCCTCGATGGTCCTCGCCGAAGAAAAAACGCACGCGTCCGAGCGATGCCAAGCAGATGGAAGCGGAGCGGAGGCAGAGGACGAGGCGAGCACGGGGGGCTTTGGGAGGCTCCTTGGGCCTCTCCCCCGCTCACCAGGCGGCGGCCCCCCCGCGAGGCTGCCGGCCCCGGAGGCCTCCGGGGGCCGGCGGCTCTCGGAGGCCCCGGAGGAATCCTCACAGGACTGTGTTCTTCTTCTGCTTCCTTCTCCTCCTCCTCCTTCTCCTCCTCCTCCTCCTCCTCCTCCTCCTCCTCCTCCTCTCCTCCTCCTCCTCCGCCTCCTCCTCCTCCTCCTCTCCTCCTCCTCCTCCTCCTCCTCCTCCCTCCTCCTCCTCCTCCTCCTCCCTCCTCCTCCCCCTCCCCCCCTCCCTCCTCCTCCTCCTCCTCCTCCTCCTCCTCCTCCTCCTCCTCCTCCTCTTGTTCTTCTTCTTCTTCTTCTTCTTCTTCCTCCTCCTCCTCCTCGTCCTCCTTCTCTATTTACGTTGGGCAAACTTGTTCGTCGTGGCTGTAGCGTCCGTGTGATCTTCCTCCTCCTCCTCCTCCTCCTCCTCCTCCTCCTCCGCGTCCTTCTCCTCTCGCTCCTCCTCCTCGTCCGCGTCCTTCTCCTCTCGCTCCTCCTGCTCCCCCCTCATACTCCTCCTTCTGCTCCCGCTCTTCCCTCTCCTGCTCCCTCCTGCTCCCTCCCTCCTGAGCGGGAGGGGGAAGAGGAGGAGGAGGAGGAGGAGGAGGAGGAGGAGGAGGAGGAGGAGGAGGAGGAGGAGGAGGAGGAGGAGGAGGAGGAGAAGGAGGGGGAGGAGAAAGGAAGTCCACGAGCCGACCTCCCTCCCCGCGCCTGGAGGTCCTCCGAAGAGCCGTATGGAGGCGCTCGGACGTCCTCGGACGTTGCCAGAGGCTCTCGACGGCTTCTGCAAGTGTTCCGAGGTTCCGTGATGTTTCCAAGGCTCTTGCCGCAGGCTCCCCGAGGCGTTCGGACGTCTTCGGGCTTTGCCGCATACTCTCGACTTTTTCATTGCTTCAGAGGCGAGAAAGAAAAAGGAGAGAGGGATGGAGGGAGGGAGGACGATTGAAGGGGATGAGGAGGAGCGAGGGAGGCCGATTGAGGATGAGGATGAAGGCAAGGAGGAGGAGGATGAGGAACAGGGGGGGGAGGAAGATGGCTTGGATTAGGAGGCGGCCAGGGGAAGAGGAGGAAAGTGACAAGGAGCTCGGAATCTACCACCACCCCCGTACTTGTCAGAATTCGGGATTCTCCTCCTCCTCCTTCTCCTCCTTCTCCTCCTCCTCCTCCTCCTCATCCTCATCCTCGCCCTTCTCCTCTCGTTCGGCCTCTTCCGTAGCTGCGGCTGGGCTCGAGCCCGCCTTTGGGTGCTCAGAGTGGGCTCGGGGGCCCCAGTAACAAGGCGTGGTTCTTCATTGGCGCTTGTGGCAACGCATTCGAACATATGTGCCTCCTCCTTCCCCTCATCGGGGCTATTCCCTCTGCCTCCCGCGCCTCCGGTCGGCCCGCCTGCCGTCGCGGCGGCGGTTGAAGTTCTAGCCCCTTCTCGCGTCATTCATCGGCGACATCACTGTTGAAGATTATTTGATTCAATGTTTCGGGTGACCTGTTCGTGAGCTCAGTGAGCGGCGTTCAAGTGCCTGGTGTGTCCCTGTGTCACTGCCGTGCTGCCCACAAATCTGTCTGGATGCTTGTCCCTGCTTGCTCGCTTGCCTGCTCCTCCACTGCTCGCGCTGTGAGGGCGGGGCGAGCGGCATGCAGCTCCCGGGATAGGAGAAATAGAAATCCTTCAGCGGGATGTCAAACTGGTCCCGGAGAGACTTCTCGGCCTTGGTGATCTTTTCCGTGAACAGAGGCACCAGCATTGTCTCCTCAAGGTCATCGGGAAATCCAAACATTTCCGTCTCTTAGTCGAGCCGAATCTCCGCCGCTATCCCCGTCGCTTTCCATCGGTCGGAAATGGTGGGAGCGCACAACCGAACTGGCAGGTACAACAAATAAATGTAAGACCCAGTAGCCGTGCTTGAGCATCTAAGACTTTCAGTGCACTCCAGGATGACCCCAGGGACCCGCCTTGAGGCCCACTGGGGCGATGTTTGGTCGCAGTGGGAGTCATGGGGACTTGCTCCAGAGGTCCAACTCGTCCAACGACGTTATACAACGTGGCTGCTGAGGTTTCACTTCCAGGATGTTCCACCTCAAGAGCTTCCAATACGCATCAAGAGGCCACCACGATCGCCCCAAGACGGCTCTCGAGGCCCCCCAAGAGAGCCCTATAGGCTTCCAAGATACCACCAAGAACGGCCCCAGAAGGCTCGATGCCGAAACCCAGTAACATGGTTGGGACTACCCCCCTCAACCTCGAGATGGCCCCAAGATTCTCTACAGGATCCGACGAGGACTCAATATTGCCCCGAGGACCCGAGGGGCCCCGTAGGAGTCCCAAGAAGAGACCCCTGAGAGAACCCCAGAGGCCTCCAAGTGGCCCCAAAGACGGCCCCCAAAGAGGCCCACCTCCCAGGAGCAGACACGAATCCCAGGAGGTCCAGGAGGGGATGCCCCTGCTCATCTCTACTCCAGGCCCACCCCTCCTCCCCCTCCTCCTCTCCTCCTTCCACATGCGTCACGCCGCATGCGTTTCTTACTTCTGCTCTTTACACAAGCTGACTCTGAGCCTTCATCCGATCCGATCCGATCCTCCCTCGCGCCGAGACGCCCGCGAGGGCGCAGCGACCCCTGAGCGGGCGACCCCCGCCAGGGGAGGAGCCCCGCGGAGCAGGGGCTGCCCGCTGGTCCGAGGCGACGGGCGCGGCCGCGGCACACGGGAGAGGGGCAGCCGGGTGGGAGGGGCAGGAGTCAGAGGCAGGCTCGCCAGGTCGAACGAGTCAGAGGGCCCCCGCCCAGGCCCACCCTCCCTCCCGCAACACCGGGGACCCACTGTGCCACGGTGTGCTCGTGGGACTGGAGCGCGCTCCCGGCCGGCGAGCGGCAGGCGCTCGCGCGCGGCGGCGCTTCCCGCGGCCTGGCGTAAAACAGGGCTAGGATCGGGATAAATCGCTCCAGAGCGTTCCGGAGCGCTCTCAGAGCGTTCCGGAACGCTCTGGAGCGGCCGCGGCGCCCAATACATCCTCCAAGCCCGCCGATTCTCAGAGATTTCGAGTTATCCCGATCCGATTTTGTCCCGATCTTCGCGTCGTTTGAAGGCGGCCCTCCGCAGAGGCGGGAGCTCCGGAGAGCAGCCGCCTCTGCGTGCTGCGGGCGGCCGCGTGCCCGACGAGCGCGGCGGAGCCGCCGCACGCGCCGCGCTGGAGTGGCACTGCCGCTTTCTGCGCGCGAGCTCCGCGCGGCGCCCGGGCGGGGCCAGCACTTCGACCGCTCTCGCGCGGCCCCGCTGCGGGTGCCCTTTTCGTCGGCTCGGCGCGCGAGACATGCTCAAGGGGCCCAAGGACACACAAATAAATACACGCAAATAAAATGATTCGCCATATTTTTCCATATTTTCTGGGTTTCTGCCTTCCCACCCAATTCCTATATTTTCCTGGGAGTCGACGATGAATTGTGTCTGTGTGTGTGTGTGTTTTCCCCTCCTGACATGCGCCGCACCCACGCGGGAACGCCATGTCCAAGCGACGCGTGCGCGTCGCGCCGTTTCGGCTCGAGCTCGCACGCGCTGCCCAAGCGAGGCTATACTGTGCGGTGCAGGCGAGTGCCGCCCGAGCTCGTGCCTTTTCCGTCACCGGCTCGTGCAGCCGAGCGCGCTGGAAGAGCACACCGCCAGCACCACCAACGCACCATCACCGTCATCCGTGCGTGGAGCTGCGGCGACGGCGGCAAGTCGCCCGCCCGCGCGGGGCCGACAAGACTTGGCGGGGAGAAGACGTGCGCCGCGCCGAGGCGGCAGCGCCGCGTCCGGGGCGAGAGACCTGGGCGGCGCCGAGGCGAGAACAGCACCTTCGGCCGCTCGCGCGTCGCCGAGTCGGCGTGCGGAAGCTGTGCGCCGCGCCGCGGCGAGCACCACACCTTCGTCCTCTCGCGCTGCATGTGCGCCCCGTCCCACTCCTCCTGCGCATTTTGCGACGGCGACGCCCAAACGTCCATGTCAAGAGCAAGCACGTCGGCTCTGCCTGGTCTGTCAAAGGTGGGGCGGTCGTGTCCGGCTTGGGTTCGCATCGGCTGGCTAGGTGGCGCAATAGTGAGGATCAGATACACATAAAACACAATGATCAATTCAGGAAACACAAGGAGGAAATTAGCAGGCGGGGGGAGGGGTAAGGAGGCTAGGAGGAACATGAAGGATTATGGGGTTATGGAGGAAGATGAATGACAAAACATAATGGCACAGCTCCACAAGCAATTCTACCGTGGTGCTAAGAACTGGCCCCCCCCATCAAAACTTCACCACCCAGCCAAACGTCAAACGAATGCGGCCTGCGTGTACAGCACCCGATGCACGAACGATCATTCACACACTTGGCATGCATGGGTGCACATAAGGAAATAAGCTTGTACAATCGTATGCTGGAAACGCGTGTCGACATGCGTGGTTATTGCGACCAAGACGCGCGCTGACTATAGCCAAGTGATACACGCACAGGAGGTCAATGAAGCCCTGGATGCCCCTGTGGTCTCCTCGATAGACAATACATAGTGGTGCCCGATCTTGCCAACCTTCTGATTCCTGGTGATCAAGACCCGCCGACCCCAGAGACGGGCCAGTAGAGCTAGAAGATGGATCCCCAGCGGCTTCGACAACTCACACACACACACACACGCTCGGATTGAAGAAATGCTCGTTCATTTCGCGGGTGTGTGAGTGACGTCTTGGTTCTGAGATTCTCACTCGATCCGCGCCTCGGCGTTCTTGTCACGACATCGCCGAGGCTCCCTCGAACGGAGCACAACCAAATGGCTCTGACAGGCATATCCGCCACCACGCCAGCAGCTTTACAATAGGTCTTAGAGTCTGCGATGACAGAACACATCAAGCCTGGATGCCTTGAGCATGCCAAAGCCCCTCATCCGACACACTTGCCGTTATACCGTCTTTACATCAGACTGAACTTTGATCATGGATTTCCTGACGTCGCCTAACTCGGTGCCCTCCAGCTATAAGTGATCCTATGGAGCGAGTAACTCACACTAGGCGTGCCCCGGCAGGGCGATTGGGCGATTCAGCTTGTCAGTGACGAGGGTGTGCTCTCCAAGCAGGAAGGCGTGGATTATGCCCACGCGACAGTCGCACACATTCGGCGGGCCTTTGACGTGTTCACTGGCGTTGATCTCTCTCGGCGGCTGATCGCGTTTGTGTTGAATTGTTAGCCAGCGCGGACCTCAGACAGTGTGCTTCTAGCACGTTACTGCGTGTAACCTATGAGAAGCGCTGCAGGTTGTGGAGCATGGATGTTGCAATCTAAGTTGTGCAATCTATGTGGTGCAAATTTTGTTATGCAACATCGTTGGCGCGATCTAGGGGATGCAACCGATGTTGTGCAGTCTATGAAGTGCTATTAACTTCTGTTCGCAATGAGTTGTCCACTCCACTGCTCGCGCAAACATCCCACCCACCCACCCGCAACTTGGTTTGCAAAATCTCTTAAGACCGTGACGGTGGGTACCGCATGGCACTTGGCAACAACAGCGACGCCGACGACGACAGCGACAACGACGATGACGACGCCGCCGACAACGACTACGACGACACCGACGACGTCTCCAACGACTTCGACGACGCCGACAACGACGACGACGACGACGACACCGACGACGACGACGACACCGACGCCGACGACGATGACAACGACGACGACGATGACGACGCCGACGATAACGACGACACCGACGACGACGACGACGTCAACGACGCCGACGACGACGACGACGCGGGCAACGACAACGCCGACGTCGACGACGACGACAACGACGCCGACGCCGACGCCGACGACGACGACGACGTCGCCAACGAAGACAACGAGGAAGGAGGGAGGACGACGACGGCGACAACGACGACAACGACAAGGGAGGAGGGAGGACGGCGACGACGCGAACGACGAAGAAGGAGGAAAGACGGCGACGCCGACGACGGCAACGACGAGGGAGGAGGGAAGACGACGACGACGACAACGACGACGACGACGACGGCGACGAAATAGGAGGGACGACGACGAGACGCCGGCGACGGACGACGACGACGACGAGGGAGGAGGAGGACGACCACGGCGACAACGACGACGGAAACGACCACGACGCCAAAGAGGACGACGACGACGAACACGAGGAAAGACAGAGGACGACGTAGGCGAAGACGACGACGACAACGACGCGGGAGGAGGGAGGACGGCGACGACGACGACGACGACGCAAGAGCGCGCGCGCGCACGCTTTTGTTGAAAACCCGTGTTGCGAAACCTTGTGTTTTTGTAGGTTTTTTGGACACACGATTTTGAAATCCTTCCGAAATCGATGGGTTTTGAAGGTTTTCGGCATACGCGCGCGACGACGCGCGCGTCTGCACTTCGTCCCGTTTTTTTGCAGGGGATTATCGCGACGGCACACGCGCAAAGGCGTTCGACAGATTTCGACATGAGCGCGCGTGAAGCCCGTTTGGTAGCATTTTGTGAGAATCTTGAAAAACCTATGGTTTTCTTAAGATTTCGCAAGAGCTTTCGTGGAAACTCTTTTAGCAACTCTGTGTTGCGAAACCTTGTGTTTTTGTATGTTTTTTGGGAATATCGATTGCGAAATCCTTCCCGCACCGAAGGTTTTTGAAGGATTACGGCATGCGCGCGCGACGACGTGCGCGTGTGCACTTCGTCTCATTTGTTTGCAAGGGATTCGTGAAAAAGTGCTATGTTAGAACAACAAATGTCACCGCATAGTGTTTTTTTTACAAAGGAACCTCAGGGGGGGAACCCGGTTTGGCTGGGATGGTATGGTTTCATATTCAGGATGGACGAGTGTGCATATATTTCTATATATATATATATGAAATCATACTATCCCAGGGGGAGCCGATAAGTCCGGGGGGGGGGAGGGGGGTAGAATCTATAGAAAGGAGAATATATGGGTGACGCCTCTGTTGTGCAACCTATGTCGTGCAAACCATGTGGTGCAACCTAGGTTGCGCAATTTAGAATCGTCGACGAGCGGCGACGTGGCGACGACAGCGACAGCATAGACGCCAGACCGCCATTCAAGTCTAGACGTCGGGCGGCGACGGCGACAACACAGCCGCCAGACTGCCATTCAGGGCCAGCTCCTTGGATCACAAGCAAGAACCCCTCAATGCAAACACGGTTTGGGGAAACAGACACCATTGACCGCCAAACCTCGGATGGCTTCCGCGGACCTTTCGTCGGCCCCTCGAGGACGAAGTACTCTGTGGAACCTTTAATGTGGGAACCGCAAGTGGGCAAATCAACCTGGGATCGAGAAATCGGATCGGAACGGAACGTTCAGCAGTTCGGGCCGCATCGGCACAGAATCGACATCGAGTCGAATCGACTGTGCCAGGGCGCACAACAACGATCATGCGAGCATCAGGTCGTATCTAGCCATCGTTCCACGTCCACTTCCAATGTATGGTTCGATTTCGTGCGCTCATTTTTCGAAACTGATCCGAGGAGCTCCTCAATGGTCCTCGCCGAGGAAACAAAGCACACGTCCGAACGATACCAAGGCATAGGATCGTCAGGATATCGAAATCGCATCGGACCGAGCCCACCGACATCGACATCGAATCGGATCGTTCGGATCGAGAATCACCCTGGCAGGCGGGCGGCGAAGCCCAAGACTCAGGTAGTAGCCCTGCAAGAAGCGCACGAATCCGACCAGGCCGCAAGCGACCGCTATCTTCTCCAGGCCGCCTGTCCCGCGGGTGGGCGAGGCATGGCGCCCAAGATCACGCCGCTGACAACCCCTCCCTCCTCCCGGCTCCTCGACCCGCCCTCCCACCGCACCTCCACGAAACATCCCTCTCATTGTCAAGGAAGGTAGGCACACGGCTGCCGCCACCCCCAGCAGCGATAATGAACACAAGGGGGGGCAGCTTGCTTGTCCGTGGAAGAACCATGGGCATCAAGTGGCGGGAGGGGGATCGGAATAGGAGCCCACGACACTGAGACGGTTCCCACTCCCGCCACTGGAGATCAGAACAGGAGGAGGAAGGGGAGGACGGGGAAAGAGGATGAGCTGGATACAAGCGTCCATCCGATGGCCAGATCAAACACCACTCGGCTCAGCGCGACAGGCTTGTATCCCCGTCCCAATCCCGCTTCGTTCGCTAAGCCTCGGCAGCCGAATGAGCAGTCGCAGCAGCTGCGGGTAGGTACGTCTGCAGGATCCTGCAGATCCACCCTCCACGATGGGGAATAAGGAAGCTGATGTAGGATTGGCACCCCCAC